TGGCATCATCAAAATCCTTTAGATACGTTCTTCCACATTATATTGTTGGATCGAGCGCTTACCACTAGGCTAAAAGCTATAGCTGATAGTCAGGGCGCAACTCTTTTTACTTAAGAGCGCAGCAGCCCAAGCGCCATGATTCGACAGTGACTTGGCTCACCTAGCCTCCGCCACGGGACAATTGATGCAACCCGCAACAATCTCCCCCTCAGCAATTGCCCCGCTGGGTATCGAACTCATGACCTTGGCTCTGATACCAATTGTTGGATCGAGCGCTTACCACTAGGCCAAAAGCTATAGCTGATAGTTAGGGCGCAACTCTTTTTACTTAAGAGCGCAGCAGCCCAAGCGCCATGATTCGACAGTGACTTGGACCACCTAGCCTCCGCCACGGGACAATTGATGCAACCCGCAACAGCTTCTATGGAGGTTGCCTTTGTGATGGCCCTGCTTCTTGCTTCCACTCAGAATACTGGTTTTGATTATTCCTCCAGCCTTGATTCTGATTATAATTGCCAGAGAAATTCCCTTGCCTTCCTGGATTATTCATGTAATTCACTTCCTCTTCCTGGTCTAGTTTAGAGATGGTGCAATGTCCATTTGGATGATCACCTGCACAAAAATCACATCTCATTACCTGTTGAGGGCGTGAAGATGATCCCACTTGAAGCTTGGACATCTGTTTCTTTAACTCTTCCATCTGCTGAGAAAGGAGTTTATTTTGAGCCAGAATTTCATTTTGAGTATCTAGTTCCAGAATTCCCCTTTTTGTGGGCTGGCTCCTATCATGGTGACCTTGGTAATCACTGGCTGCCAAAGCATCAATAATAGTGATTGCTTCCTAAGAATCCTTCATCATCATAGAACCACCTGCAAAAGCATCCAATAACATCTTTGTTTGAGGCCTTAACCCATTACAAAACATGTTGAGCTGTGCAACATCATCAAACCCATGATTTGGGCATTTTCTCAATAAAGACTTATATCTCTCCCAAGCTTCACACAAAGGCTAATTAGTGCCTTGAGAGAAAGTTGCAATTGCTGATTTGGTGCTTATATATCTGGAAGGAGGAAAGAATCTAGCCAGAAACTTCCGCTCTACATCCTCCCATCTAGTCAAACTCTGATTTGGGTGGGCCTGCAGCCATGTCTTGGCCTTACCTATCAAAGAAAAAGGAAATAATCGCAGATATACCGCTTCTTAATCTTCTCCAAGAACGCCCATAGTGCTAATGAGCTCATAGAAAGAAGATAGGTGTCTGTAGGGACTTGTGAAGTAAGTTATGATTTCTATTATACTAATTGATACTTGTGAATTGAAAATTTGAGTAATTACACATGTTCAAATTTGATGTAAATGATGAATCAAATTAAAGTAACCAAAAGATTAGATTTAATAAAACAGATATGAGTCCCTCCTATGTATTCCTAATGATTCTATCAAATGATTCCATTACTCTCTGCCATTGAGTTCTCTATTTTCATTCAAACCCAATCCCTTGGCATAAGAAATTCTGAGATATTTAACTCAATGAATGATTCCTCACTTCATTCAGTTCAATATCCCGCATTAAGAATCAGAACTTGTTGCAACTATTAATTTCAAGACCATCCTTGGCTCTCAAAACTAATAGGTGATTTATTTCAAGTCTAGATTCAGAAAACATTTTCCAACCAAATTCTAAATCCAAGATCAAAGATAAATGATCAGTTTATCAAAGCATTAAGAACAGAATACAAATTATTGACATTGTGTAATAGATGAGATATATATATATATATATAAATCAAAGAGGAATACACGGGAGTTTGATGACTACATTAATCCCAAACCTAGAGCTTTAGCTCTCCATGATACAAGAAATCACTAAACAACAAGGAGAAAGGTAGAAGAAAGAGATCCTCTGAAGAATCGCGTCCCCACGAGCTCCAAAGTGCTTTGTTTCCTCGTTCCTCTCTGTTCTTCACTTCGTACCACTAGTGATCCCTTTTTTCTCTCTCCTCTGCCCTTTTATAAGTGCTAGAATTAAAACAGAGTAGGCAGGAAAGAGAAGAATCCGCTCAGCGCCTTGAAACGACTGAGCGGTTTGAAGAATTCTTCACCATGAAGTAATCTGAAGGGCTGAGCCGTTCAAATTGTTGAGCGCCTGAGAGATTCTTCATTGTTAAGCAAGCACAAGGGGTTGGGCTTCATATTCGCTGAGCGCCTAGGAGGCAGAGATCACTCCTTCTTCCAGGGCCAAAACCCCTCAGCGCCTTTGAGTGGCTGAGCGCCTCTCGTTTGCTGCTTTTGTTGAGCTCTTTGGCTTGAAAGCGCTCAGCCGTTTTAAACGGCTGAGCCATTTGCCTCCAGATTTCAAAACCTATAAAATAACACAAAATTTGATCAAAAGATTCATCGCTCCCTGTACTAACATAAATCAAAAGTCCCTCTTTGATTCTAAGTATATATAGACCAAAATTATATCAATATGTACAAAAATTGTACTAGATAAATGTCTCAAATTCATATTTTATCAAACTAATTAGACACTTATCAGGTATTTGGTTTCTTTCTCAACAGAAATGTACCCTATGTTTGATGTTCTTTTGCTAACTTCTCACCTTTTGAGTGTGAGTTAAGGTTGAGGGGGTGTTTGGTTCCTTTATGAGCCAAGGGATCCATATATGAGCCAAGAGTTCTCAAGGCGTATTCACCATGTGCTTAGTGTGAGCTTGGGTTGAGGAGTGCTCGATCTTCTATGAACCAGGTGATCCTTCTATGAGCCAAGGGATGTTTTCGTACATTTAGAGGTGTGAAAGTATATCATGTATAAATATCATTAGGTATATATATATATAACTCAAGATCTAAGATTTATGATAATTTTATTATTAACCTTTTAAATATTTTAACGAGACCAGTAAAATCTAAGAATAATAAAATTTAAAATAATGGAATGAAAATTTTATAATGTTTCATCATAATAAAATGATAATTTTATATCATTAATTCCGTATTAACCTATTCCACTCCATTTTATACTGTTCCATTCACCGTTCCATGTCCATATCCAAATTAAACGATGCCTAAGGAAACAAATGCGAGTAATTGCATTGCAAACGAAACCAACCATTAATGCACCAAATAATAATATGAAAATATTGTTTGTTGATTTATTCATTAAAATTTTTAAACTTAACAATTAGATTGTTAAAATTTAACATATATTATAAATTATTGAGTGAAACAATTTTTCCAAAAATTATTTATAGAGTAATTTAATTATTCCTCATTCTATATATATAATATATACACAAATATCATCCAAAAGCAGCAGATGCAGGGGCTGGAGGGTCAACAAGAAATATATCGAGAAGTTGACGAATTGATGTGTAATTATAATCAGGATATAGTTGTGAAGCTTCAAGGTCTTCTTCCCCTATTTCGAAGCCCGTGAAGTCTCCTCTAACAAATACACTATGCAGAATGGAAACTGGAATATTGTCTGGAGGGGGTAAGGCTGCAACAACATATTGAAAAAAGTTAACCATTAGTCACGGCTAATTTAACATATAAATTATGAAGAAAATTATAACGCTCCTCATACAATAACACCGGTGTAACTTTTACTAAGTATTACACTCATCAATAACTTTATATTAAATGTGAATTTTGTAAATCTAACCGTTAGATTGAAAGTTCATATCATTTTATATGTTTATACCAAATTTTGTTAAAATTGAACAATAACTTGAAGGTAATCAAAGTATTTATATTTTAGTATATTTTGAAATGTATATATTACATCAATTTTGTTTTAGAAGAATGAAGTATCAAATCATCTTGGATTAATATAAAATTTTGTATATATGATCTAAGAGTAAAGAATTTTCAATCTAACGGTTGAATTTATAAAATTAACATTTAATATAAAATTATTAAGCAGTGTAATACTTAGTAAAAGTTACATCGTAGTCTTTGAACCTTCCTCTATATATATATTTTGGGAGAGGGATTCGTTTACTCTAGGAGTAAGTCAACTCCATTCAATAACTCATGTTCTACATCAAATTTCAACGATTCAATAGTTAAATTTAAAGTTCTTAATGCATAGATCTAATATGTAAATTTTAATAAATGAATAATCTCTCCTCATATATATATATAT